AACAGCTTGCCTAGGATCGAGGTAAGACTAACTGGCCTATAGTTTCCCGGGTCCTCCTTCCTCCCTTTTTTGAAGATGGGAACCACGTTGGCCCTCTTCTAGTCCTCCAGCACCACTCCAGAGCACCACGAGTGCTCGTAAAGCCGTGCCAGGGGTCCTGCAATGACCTCGGCCAGTTCCTTTAGAACTCTAGGGTGGAGATCATCCGGACCGGCTGACTTGAAAACGTCCAGCCCCTCCAGAAGCTCCCTAACTAAGTCCTCGCTTACCCTTGGCCCAGGTGTGCCACCCCCAGGGCCCAAGGGGGGCCCAGCAGGGAGGTGGCTGTTCTGGTCCCTACTTAGGAAGACGGAGGCAAAGAAATTGTAATACAAAGAAGTAGTCTAGAAGTGGTTAACACTGCAGCTGAATGCAGGAACCAGGGGATGGGGAAATGTGCAATGGAATCATGTTGGAAGAGAAGCTGCGTCTGTAACTAACAAAGAATCAATTCATGTCCTCTGAAAAATACCACGGAGGGCATGAAAATGATGAACATTATTAATATAGCTCAAGGGAAATACGAAATTCAACAGCTGTCCAGCACTACAGATTGCATGCTCTTTTGGCCTTTCTACCCTTACTTTAAACTAGGCTTAGAGCTTCCAACTTTCTCATTAAGCTTGTAGCCATTCAATACCCATTTATATGACATGATTTATTATTCACTGAGTGCCAATAGTGCCAAATAAGAAGGCACAGTCCCTGCTTCAAGTAGTTTACAATCTGCTTTTGACAGAGCTGAGACATGTCTGATACAAATATACCATGGTGTGCCTGAGGTTGACTGCAGTGGTACAGGCAATGATCATTTGTTATTGCACTCGATTTCCGTACGCCCCAAAGGAATCTATTTCTGCACCTACTGAGACTGACAGAAATGTTGGCATTATTTCACTGGGAGCAGAACTGGCTCTGAATAAAGGTTGCGGAGAAGGGAAAAACAAAAGAGGTTTATTTGAAACAAAATGGGATTCTTTTCTTTAACAAAAGATAAGGTTTTCTAATGTCTAATGGATCCCATCTGACCTCTCCCACTTCACCTGCATCTAGGTATGATTTGGAAATAAGGGGAATAAGTTATGGAAGACACTTGATAGGTATGGCTTAGGGTGTTAATATAGTATAGTCCCTATTACCCAGAGGTTTGTTCTGATATGGCTTGTACCTCAGCTTTGAGCCCTCTCATGCTTTTCAGAAGCTGGTGCCTAAGAAAGCTCTGGCTAGGGTGGGGTGATACCTTTTAACTGGTGACTTTTGACCTCTTGCTTTGTTATTCAGGTAACACATCTGTGTCTGCTCTGGCTTTAGCTATGTAGTATAGCCAGCCATCATTTCAGTCATAAGGGAGGATGAAAACTGAAGTCTGCTATGCAGATCCAATGGGTCAGGTTCAGTTCCCATTAAAGTGCAAGGAAAGGCTCTGTTTGATGGAATGAGAGCCCTGTAATGAGAACGCCTTGCTGCATATACTAAAGGAATATTGCCATTAGCTGAAACTGTGTTCGAGTGCAAAGGATACAGAAGGTCAACTTCTTATCTCCTTTCAGATGGCCTATATCTGAATTAATTCTACTGATTTCAGTACTGATGTGTAAATCTGGAATAAAGTGAATTCACAATCTGGTTTCCCCTTGAGCAGGAGTGGCATATATGGTAGCAAGAGTCACTGTATTAAATTAATCATTGATTAACACTCATATTTAAATGTCCAAACTGAAGTAGTCTTACAGTGAGCTTGATGACAAAAGCTAAAGATGCACAAAACATAGCAAAACTGGAGCAAAGGTCTAGTATTTGTAGAACTAGATGGTACCACTCGTAGGACAATGGGTCCTTGCAGATAGCTGTGAATTTGGTGTAGGGAAAAGGGATGAGAACCGCGTAACCAAGATAATTGGTCCCAGCAATCCCTGCAAAAGAATAGTAGCAGTATGGACCCAGGAGGGTGGCTGCAATGGCAACAGCAAATTGAATCGAGCTGCCTGTGATGCTCAGTACTCCAAAACTGAAACTAGCTTCCCACTGAAAAGAAGACAGAAACATGTTATTACTTTCTGACTGATAAGAGAAATCTGCTAAAGGCTTTTTAAATAAAAGAGTCAGGGAACCTTCCTGTTTCTTTACTTCCAACATGGAAAACAGACTTTATAAAAATTCTATCATCTCTTATTCTGTGACCAAAATAAGAGACATAATGGAAGGGAAAATAAGCATGGTAAATGTCATATAAGCCACTTATTAAAAAAATCAGTGAAACCAGATTTTGCTAAAAATACTCAAAGAATAAATTAGAGCAGATGTATTTTATGTATGCATTTGTCATGTAACATTACAGTGGGTGGCCTTTCAAAAAGTTAACTTCTATCCTTGAATACTCAAAAAGTCTGCATTTTAAAGGCCGGAAATATTTCTGGGACCAGGAGGCTCCTGGTAGAACGTTTAAATCATGCCCACAGTAAGCCAGGTTTGGTTTGGTTTGGTTTTTTTTGATCCACAGCTTGAGTAGCAAATATGCTTTTCTTCTTGAAAGTATGATTTGGATTAACTCCTCAGTTCTACTGCATGTGACACCATATTGAATGACAACGTAAGTTTACCAGCGATCTTTGCGTGTGTTGTCTGTCAGCCAGAAGGACAAGCATGCCAGCAATAAGAGCCTGTGGAGGGGGAAAACGGAGAGTTACATGTGGTGACTTGTAATGCTAATAGTAGTACTTCAGATTCTGACGTACTGCACAAACATCATTTGTCACAACTCGGTGGGCCGTCCTCTGCTCCTATGAATGTGTATCGCACAATGCAGCTTCTGGTGGGATGGCACATGTCGGAGGGGAGGGGAGGGGTGGTAACGGCATATCGTATGAGCCGAGTAAGTTTATATGATACGATTTTGAAATTAGCCTGCTAGGATACACAAGTTTCTTCTGTTTTTTGGGGCAGCGCTAGTGAAGAGCAGATGGTATGTTTAAGTTGTCTTTTGTCTTTCCTAACCCTATAGCTGCAAGGGGCTGCTGCAGCACCCACTGTTAATGCCAGCTGGATCAATTCCAAGGTAACAGCTCTGCCAGCTGAGGAGCATGCTCATCCTCCCCCCTCCTGCTGTGTGCTAACATGTCTCTACCTTAGAAGAGGGTTACACTGGAAATCTCAGTATGGAGGAGTCTCTTCCCAGCAGGCATTTCAGAGTTGCTTTAAGGATACTTGGTCCCTGTAGCACAGAGTCCAAGGATCTCATGCTGTGAGAACAGAAGTGGTCCAGGTAGGAGGGAAGTCTGGTCCAACTTCCAGTGTGGTCAAATGCATCCAACTGAAAGGAACATTTTGTCTCCATTCCCCCAAAGCCAACATAATCAGCAAAGAAAACCTGTTTCAAACATTGCTTGGAGAATGGGTAAAATGAACCATTATGAGAATGACCTTCTTTTGTGCTAGTTGTCGTTCCCATCATCCCTTCTCATTAGAATGATAATGCCTGCTCTACTTGCAGAAGAATTGTAATAACACCAACACTTTTCACAATGGTTTGTTTTGAATAGCTTGCTTGTTGTACTTTTCTCTTTCAGGGTATTGCTGTTACAATGTCATCTACAGGAGTTAAGTGCAAAACTTCCCTTGATGAGGAAGTGCTGCATCACATAATAAGAAGAACTAGCACGTGGTCTCTGAATGACAGAACGGTGGGAGTACAGTTAACTTTACAGGTTTCCCTTGCTTTATGCGGGCTCTGTATGTGTGAATTTGCTCTTATGCAATGACCCTTTTTATACCCAAAATTCGTTATAGGCGAGGCAAATTCATTCTCATGCAATCAGTGTGGTGGGAGCCCGCAATCAGCTGCTTTGTGCAGTGCACTGTGGGAGTGGCACGCGCCAAAATATCTTGTGTGGATCTACGACGTGTTTCTGTAGTTGCCACCCCATTATAGTAACATTCACCACCACCCTGTGCTTGTGTGCACTGTCTGCTGTAGGTGAGTACTAAAATTGTCTTGTAAAAGTGGTAGAAATGGGTCTGGGAGTCAGTACAGTCAAGGTCTTGGAACGTATCCCTATTTGTTACATTGCAAAGTGGGTTCCCTTTATGTGAATTCGAGTTATGCACCTTTTTCCAAGAATGCATGTACAGCGTAAACCGAGGGAAACTTGCACTTTTCATGGACTCAGACATAGCATTGTATTTCTTTCTGTGCAGTGTGACCACAAATATTGGTGCGTATTGTTCATAATGAAATAGATTGATGCTGTGGTATCTCCTGTTCTACTTATGTTCTTGAATTATTGAAGGAAACCACTACGTAAAGTTCATTAGGAAGAAGAACTATGTAAGAGGGTGGAAAGGCTTTACCGTAAGCCACACTACCAGCAGGCATTTTCGGAACATAATAACTTTATGCTAAGACTTGTACCGGAGCTAGCAGATATGGCTCATTAAGTTAAGATACTAGGCAGGAGGGTGTGCTCCTCAAAGGAGAGAGAACTAGAACAACAGGAGGTTCTTGAAGGTCTAAGAAGTTAAGAACAGGTAGAAAGCCAATCTTTTGGAAAGGGGATGACTTTGGATTCCACCAAGGGTCATTCTGCCCTTCTGGAGAAGAAGGTAGCCCCTTGGATAATATACCCTATCAAACAGGGCGAATATGGGATAAAGGGGAAAGCTGGGCATGTTCATTATATCTTTGCCATTGATCCAGGGCCAAATATGGTATGGGAGACAGCGCTCTTCCCTATTTGGGGTAAACAGGCACCACTCCATTCACGTTAAACCTACTGGCAGTGACTTTGGCTCACTGTTCTTAACTTTCTGCCAGGATACACGAATATTGGATATATTTCTTTGCCCTGAATAATTTAACATTGAGGAGTGAGAGCATTGCTGGAAGATGTGCTTGAAATGAGTCTGCACATGAGCAGATCAGAAAGCAGCATGATCTGGGCACTTGCACAAGTAAAAGACTGTGTCCATAAAACCCCAGAACTTTGAGCAATACAGCCCTGTGGTTTGCTTTCTACTTCTGGCATGCTAACTTTCCATGGCACTTTCTATTTTGAATTTTTGATTTAAGGAATTTTAAAATACTTCTCCTGAGGCTGAGCCTGAAGTTATATTCTTGGCATATCCATACCATAAAGTTCCCATGGTCAAAATCAGAAACATCTGGAGTCATGAGTGGCTGTTGGCTAAATTCATCAGAATTAAAGTTTACAAGGGATCCTAGCAGGTTCTAGCCAGAGTAAATAATACAACAGAATAAGAGTAACTATTAAGAGCAATTGTAATACTGAGGCTACACTATGAGGTGAGAACCAAAGCTTTTTCACAATATGCTTTTCCAGCTAAGAGACCTTCAATTTACACTTAACACACATGTGGTTGATGGAACAAAGAAAAATTTGAAGAAGGATGAAAGCAGGGGAGGGATTATTCACCCCTGCTGGTTTAGCTCCAGGCAGATAGTTTAAGCTATTAGATGATCAGTTTCCAGTATGTTTTTAAATACTCTGGCAAGGAATTTTATTTTCTATCCCAAAGTCTAAATTGCTGTAAGATTGACACTGGGTTTTTTTTTTATACATTGCCATTTTGTTTTATTTCTTAAGGCAGAACTTTTTCACAGTTGTGCTTGAAGAGTCTGGTCCAATGTAACCAATGGGAGGCTTTCCAGGGACTTATAGCCAATTTTTTAAAGGGAAGTAGGTATTTCTCTGCTCAGTGCCACACATCCCAGGCTGTTGGCTAGCAGAACCTCCAGAGCTAGCAAGCAGCTCTTTTCTCCCCTTTTCCTGCAATGGGGTCAATTAAGTCCCTAAACCATGGCTTTTTTAGAATCCTGTCCTGTCTAACGGGCAGCCCTGAATTGATGAGAGTTGGTTCAGGCCCTTTGCAACCTGAAACAATAGTTCTTGCAATTCTGTCTTGCATTTTGTTAGTTGTTACAGCTTTTAATGTTGCAAAGCCAATTGCCACTATCCAGTCCATGCTGGAGAAAGGGAAAGGTACAGTCTTCTCCCTTTGGAGTCTCCTTTTGGTGTTTTTCCTGTATTGTGGGGCTGCTGGCAGGACACACGCTGCTCCTCTGATCCCAGACAATGAAGTACAGCCACGAGAGATAGAGAATGGTGAGTCAAATTTCACATCATGCCATGCAGTACATATACTTCCTGGCGGGGCAGCCATCCACGGGTGAACTCGCACCAAGTGCACGATTCTGCTTTGGTCCATATCCTGAGAACAGTCTGTAAATTGTAGATGGTGGAGGGAGGAAGGTGGATCCTCCCTTTACCATCAGCTGCTCAGCTTCCACTCCCAGCCCTGCTCTGGGCTGATTCTCTCTTACCATGGGCCACATTCTGGTAACCCACCAGAATCTGTAAGTCTTGCAGCCTTACCCAGCCTCTGCATACCTTTTTCAGGCACCTAGTCCCTTATGTTTCCAGCCCTGATACCTCCATTATGTCTAGTCTCTCTTCCAGGTATATGCAGCTTTGTGTTTCCAACCCCTTCCCAGTAATGCTCTTAGTTCTCCAAATTGCACTGCTTCTGGCAGTGCCATTCCCATGTAGTCATGACCCGACTTTAAACACAGGGCCAAAGCAGATGTGAGTCACGGTAGCCCCAGCATGTCTTTCCAAGCTAGCCCTACCCTGGAGTGGGATGCCTGGATATATGTGACAGCCATTGTAGCCTTGCAGTCCCCAGGGAGAAAGTCTACAATTAGTGGCTTGCACAGAACAGGCATAATGCTCTACTTCCAACACTGCCTGTGCCTTTATCAGCTCCACCGGTGACTTACAAACTATTTGTGTTTTCTAGAAAGCTCCCTACTGTAGCTAGCCTTAGACTCTACAGTCCTGCACACCTCTGGGCTGCTGTTTTAGGCCGTCCTTGTGGCAGATGCCTGGGCAATCAGTGCTAGTCTTCCTCTTCCTCCTCATCCTTATCCTCCATGTTATCTTTCTTGCCCTGCTCAACAAAACCAGCTCCTCAGGGAAGGCTATTCCACATGCCAGTACTATTTATATGAGGTTCTAGCAAGAGCTTATTAACCCAGCTCGAGCAGAACGGCAGTGTGTCACTTTATAGATGAGGATGCTGTTTGCTGAAAGCCACAACCAGTGCTTAAAGCACTTTGAAAATACCAATAGGCTCTGATTGGTAAGCGTTGTTGGGATTGAGCAGCACCTGATATGCAGCTCTAGAAAAGTCAGTGATATCTGCCCCACCTGTCTGCAGAGTACCCCCAGAGTGCTGAGTCTCTCCCCACTGTCCTGTTGCTTGTCCCAGGGAACAGACCAAGGTTTGCCCTGGGATAACTCCTTATCCCCATAAGTGTCTGCTCCACTGCCTTTATAATGGACCTCACAGCTGCAGCAGGGGAATTTCTGCCAGCCTTGCTTTTGCATTGTGGCAGAAGTCTTTCTTTTCATAGAAGGGGTTAGCCTGGACTACCCCTCGGAGACCCCCTTTATTACAGGCAATCAGTAAGGAGACAAACAACAAAAGCATTTACTCTATAGAAGAAGAGTATTATACAAGAAAACTGGCTCATGAGTTTGGAGAGGGAGAACAAAAATGCCATGTACAGTTTCTTACCCTCTCAATAAGCTACCACCCCTAGCTTTCAGAGAGTCCTGCCATTATCTCTAGAAATCAGCCTTCCTTTGTGCTGATTTTTTTTGTCAGCCTTGGCTGCTGGTGCCTTAGACCATTCTCCAGCCTGGGAAAAATCCAAAGACCTCTGAGCCAGCTCCCCTCTATTTTCCCTGCTTCCCCTCTTTCCAAACTCTTCCCCCTCCCCCACAACCCCCAGCATTGTCCCAATTCCTCATGGGTCTCCTCCAGAAATTTCTGTCCATGGGACACCTGGCATTCCTCTCCTTGATGAGCCATTTCTCTTAGATGCTTTTGCTATAGAGGAGTTGATTTCCCCATTAGTCGCAGACAGTGCCTTGGGTGCCCAACTCAATAATGTCTCCTTCTGCCTGCGTCTGGGAGTAGCAATGTCCTTGCTCTCATGTCAATAGCAACAAAGACTTAGCAGTTACACCTATTTTCTTATCTTTAATTATACATCCCTCTATTCTATTGATTAAACTATGACCAAGATACATATAGACAGCATAACATAATCTGTCTAATGATAGAATCAGTATAAATGGATGCAGCATAGCACTGGGTTTCCAACAAGACCACACATGCCATATTGGTGAAATAAACACCAGAAAATCTGCAAGACACCCCATGAACCTCCAGACCCTAGAGGGGCTTGTGACAGTATCTAAATGAATTAATCTGGCTCTTAATTCATGACGGGTAAACCCTGGTCCCACTGTATTTAATGGCAAAGTTCCACTGACTTCATCAGGAGGAAGCAAGCTTTGGACCTCAGATGCTAAATGCAGCCTAAATCTATATCTGTAATGCACAAAAAGCATGTGATGTGGTATTATTTAGGAAATTCGTTTCAACAGATCATCCTGTTCCTTGAGCTGCTGTCAACATCTGTCACTTCTATCACTGTGTATTCTTTAGCGCACACTGCTTGTGGCTGTACAGTAAGATGAATGAGGTGCTGTTAGGACAGTTGGCAGGGCCAAACCCAAGAATTCCTTGCATTACTTTCTATTATCATGATACAGTATCTTGCTCGCTGCAGCACATCTACTCATTCATGTAACAATTCATTTCTTCATTTAAATTTGGCCATAGCATTGCCAGCTTCTAGACACAAAACTGTCTTCTTCCATCTGCTTTTTAAAACTGAACTCCCTTTTCAGGAAATGGGAAGCTCTGCTTAAATATTGCTAAAAAATGTGGTCTTTCAGTAGGAAAATGGGATAAGTAATTCAAGGAGCTGTGGGAACAAATGTGAGGCAAAGCTGTGGGGGGGGTTTAGAGGCTCAGATGAAATGGGATTTAGATTGGGAACACTTATTGGTTTTAATTTGCTAAATTGAAACTGCTTTCTGTTCTTGCATGTCTCTCTATAGAGTGTACCAAATCCAAGAAGGGGTAAGCAGCTGAAAAAATAGGCATGGCATCTTTAGTGAACCAGATGCTATGTTAGAAATATCATTTGTACATGTTTCGGTCCTGTCAATGGCAAAGTTTTAAGGAAAGCAGTCCCTGGAATTGCAATCTAAAGCTTGTGCCAAGGACAGGATTATGCTAGCTATAAGGAATGGCATCCTCGGTCAGTCTGGCCCACAGTTTTGATATGTATAGTATATATATTTGGTTCCACGTATCTTCACTAATTCTGACAAATTTAAGGGAACCACGAAAGTAACATACTTTTGACTGAGTGGCCATAGCTGCCTCTATTCTGTAACATGGAAATTAGAAACTGGTGGGTGGTTTCACCAGCCAAAGTATGGAAATAAAGCTTCCAAACCTGGCTCTGTTTAAAGCCCTTTCCTCAGAGCTGGGTTATTATCCTGAAAACAATCATAAAAACCAAATCTAATGAACAGAAAACCACTGGATGATAATTCCTGAGAGACCTTCCCCACTTCAACCATCCAGGAGGGGAGAAGACCCACCCTTCCCTTAATTCCCCTTCTGGCCCAGCTTCCCCTTCCTTTATACTCCACCCTAGCAGCAAGACCAGCTAGGTCTGTTAACCCTTTACAGGCAACCCTGCCAATACTTTGTGCACCTCTGCTCTAATTTACACTGTGCATTGAGATGACTTCAGTTAGGAGGCACAAATCAGGTCTGAAGCTAGATTCTTAAATGATGATGAAAGTTTCATTAGACTATAGCTGCATAATCTTTTTTCTTCTTAAACTTTGTCCCACATGTATATCTCTGATTTCATTGTTTAAAACATAAAATAGAAGGAGGGTTTTGCAAAAACTAAAGGGCAATGAACCTTTGGGGGGAACCCCCTCCCCAGCTGATTACTGGGAGAGAGAACCAAATTTATCTCAGTTATAACAACACTGCTCTAGTAATGTTAAGTCACATTTTATACAAGTGTAACTGCAATCAGAATTAGGTCCAGAGTGAATGTTTTGTTTTTGTTCCAAAAGCAAAAGTTTTTGACTGAAAACATCATGAAACAATCAATATGCCAATATTTACTGCAAAGTTAAATCTTTTGAAGCTCCTGTATATAATTTCATTCGACTCCAAGGACACCTCTAAAAAAAAAAAAGAATTTATATTAATTAGAAAGAAAGAAGAAAAGGAAATAGTTTTTTTTTCTTTCCATCTCAATAACTTTTTTTTCTCCGATAATATTCTTGTTCTGCCTACCACAGCTCCATTCCAGATGGGACAGGCAATTCGAACACTCCAGCCAACAAACCAAGGCTTGTAAGAAAAAGCAGGAAAAAAAGCCAAAATTCCAGAAAAAATGCTTGTAATCCCAAAGGAACTAAGTACCCATCCCGTAACCTCATATAAGCTCTTCATTCTTGGACTCCCTCTCTGCTAGAGTCACAGCAAGGATTAAAACTAAAACACTTTGTGGTAAACAGAAGTTTCTTAGAGACTGTCGTCATGACATGAGCTGATGTTTAATCATGCTAGGTAAACATTATTTGATTATCTAAATATCCCTACATATTGTACTGAATTAAAGCAGGCCCATAACCTGTGCAATAGTATGCATGTGTATTTGTGTGTTTATAATATTTTTTCTCCCCAAAGAATCATTCCAGTCCACTTTCAGCTGCAGAAGTTTCCAGTCAGTCATTTTGAATTGCTCCTCTCTTGTCTTCCCATGAGGAGTGACCACTTCCTATTGTATGGAAAGCCAGAAACTTGCTGGCCAGGACTGTAGTTGTCATTTCCAATCCTGACCTGTCCATTGGAGCCAAGTTGAAACCCAACATCCTTTGTGTCCAATAGATCAGCGTACACAGAACACAGATGTATCTCTGTGCATATGACCATACTCACCCCAGCTGTAGTTATTTTTTAACATGTAGTTTGTAGCAAGAAAACATCATTTGGGAATGTTGCTTGTTTCAGTTTTAAAATCAAATGCGTTGCACCATTAACGCTATTTCTATCTTTTGATCTTCTAAAATATCAAATTTAAAATTCAGCTTTGAGCACAGGAAAGACGAAGGGCGTTGGAAAATGTGTGCACTGGTTCTAGGGCAAAAAAGCCTTTGAGCTCAATGGCAACAGGATGAGACCTCTAATAAGTCATACAAACAAAGCGGCTAACAAGACAGGATCCCACCTCTCCTGTACCAGCCATGCCAATATATTTTGATTGAAAGAACTAAAGCAATTATTTTTTATACACTTTATCAAGTGTAATGCCTGAGCCATCACTGCACGCTGCTGATAATGGATGAACTCATTTCAAGCATGTGCCATCCTTGGAGAGCTGCCGTAGTTGTGTGATACTTCAGCAAGGGCAGCATCTGATAGCAGCGCTCTTACATAGGTGAGGAAGGAACTGATTTTCCATCCAGCTGAACCAGAGGATGTCTCTTGCTCTTGACAAGAACCATCTGCAAGTTCAGTCTCACTACTTTGTCCGATCCTTGCTTGGCCCAGCACGGATCAGCAGGGCTGAAAATCAACCATTTGTAGCTTGCTAATTCTCTGGCTGGCCCTACTCTGGTCCTCACTGTTCCAAACTACCACAGCTGGTAACAGTCCTATATTGGCCGTCCACCAGCTAGGATATAGAGTGCCAGACCTCCTCCTGCTGTTGGTGCATCCCCTACACTAGAGCCAAGAGGGGAAAGGAGGCCTGTGCTAGTTTTGTGCCAGCTGTTTCCCATGGTGGGAAAATCCTGAGCTGCCAAGAAGTGGCTGGAGTCTGGCAGCCACTGCCTTGGTGGCTTAGAGGGAATGAAGCAGGCCAGACAATCTGTCCTTGCCAAGTCAAGGTGGAATGGGGCACCATTTGTAGTGCACCCTGTGTAGACATTTATCCACGGATAGCAGATGATCTCAGCAACATTAGGAACTGCAGCGACTTTGCCACTGTAGCAGGGTACATAGGTAGCACAGAGCTCTGTGTTGACACGGCTGGATGCCTTCAATACCTGAAAACTCTTGTCAAGCTATCTTAGGGCACTGCATGTGAAAGTACCCCCAGTAGATCTGGAAATAAGGATACAGAATGAAACTGAACTTTGAGTTTGAGTCTATTTGTCTTCACAATATTCACTTTGCTAAGTTGTTATGGATGGGGGAGGTTGGCATCTAACTGAGTTATGTACCAGCTGTGCATAGTGCATTTATTTATAAAGCACTGACTTCCTTGATCACAAATTAGTACAACTCCTGTTTAATTAAATTACTATTAGCAGGCCTGGCATTTTTTATTCAATTTGCACAATCTAGCCTCTATTAAATTAATTTTAATCTCCGTTTGATATGGAAGTCAATACAGTGATACAAGGAAAATTCTGTTGTTCGCTTTTAAAGGGCAAGGCACTTGCAAAATGATTTCATATTCTTGAGTAAAAAAACAGGGAGGCCAGATGCTCGTTGTTAAGTACCTCCCACCCTAGGACTTTGAAAGATCATACACAACTTTAAAATGTAATTTCATGCATGTGGAGTGAAGGAAGAAGGCCTAATAGCTTAGTATTACTTAGTGCTTCCAATCTAATTCAGTTAGGGCAGTGTGAATGTCTTCATCACATGATCAGCACTCTGATCTTGGTTTTGGCGGTGTGTTTCCAATATGCACTGTAATGCCTTTCTCATGACTTGAATGGTTCACATTCCATATTTCCTTGCTGTTGTTTGGTAATCAGAGTTGTATTTCATTCCCTGATGAAGAGAGACCTTCTCACAGTAGCTGACAGAGAATGCAGTCCTTGGTCTGAGTCATGCGTTGACTTTTTACTGAACTTTTTATCTGAAGGTTAAAGCAACCTGGCATGCAAATATATAGAGCAGACAGTTTAGTGGTTTTGGTTTTGCAGTAGGAAAACTATGTTGGATTAACTCCTGGAGACTCCTCTCTCTGCAGTGTCTTTCCTCAAGTTAGGAGGTACTTAGACAAGCTCCAAAAAGGTGCTATCTGTGGCAGGAGGTGAGACAGACAGGCGGAAAGAAGGCAGCACAGCCTGGAGGCTTGTTGCTAAAGGCTCTGCCTCCACTCAGCTTTTTCATGCAGCTTCCTGGGGTTGGTGGGGTTTAGAAGTCAGGACCCTGCCCAGATGACACCAAGTTTATATATAATTATTTTCAATATATATTTTTTGCTTGGCCCCTGTGCTTTCCCTCTGTGAGCTCTTTTGCAGGATGTTGAGGCATGATTCAAGCTTAGGGCTGTAAAAAAAAATAACCTACTGTCAAATATAATAGCATTCCAAGGCCCTACACAACAGGGCTAACTAATGAAGCAATCAGCTTAAACATGGCAGAGATTTGTTCTGTCACACAGAGCGTTGTGGGACAGGGCTACATTTGGAAGGGAGCCATTCATGGATTTATTTTGTTTTGAGAAACCAAAGGATGTTATTGTACTCGAGAAATATAGAAATGATGGTGCCGAGTCTATGCCATAGTGGCTGTAAGCTAATGAAACGCAGGCCAGTCGGTCAGTCTGTCTTTTTTTTCCTTTTAATTTGATACTTCAGAATAACAAAACGTGGGGCACAATTCTACCTGAGGTTTTAAATCTGCTTTAAATAAACCTAATGAAATAAATCCCTCATGGATGCACGTTACAGTTTGTGAGATGTACATTAAGGTTTAGCTTAAGTGGGAAAGAGCTACAGTGAATGCATGAGCTACTCTTCAAAGTGAAATAAGTGACTACATGGGTCTGAACAAGTTTAACTAAGGTGGCTGATAGTACCCCTTTAGTTTAACAGGTGCAAACTTGTGTATATGTTAAGGCTAAGGTTTCTCTTCATTCCCAGAATACTTCAGGAGAGACGGTGAAAGAGCAGATTTCTCCCATATTAACAGACTCAGTCCTGCTTTCATGAGGCCTCTCCAAAGAAGAGGGTAGTTCTCATTACATGTCCATTCACTCCTTGACCTTTTGAGCTATTTGCCAACGAAGAGTCATTGTTGTTAATTTCTATGGTGTATTCAGAAATGTTAGCCAGCTACTAGGAGCTGTCTTACTTTTAATTCAGATGGTAACCATTTTTGGTTCCTTCTAAAACTAGTTTAGGTGCATACATTTGGCAGTTTTGAATGTAGCAATAATCACTTCCCGAATGAACTAAATGGAGTAGTGCACTCCTGTAAAGATATTTGTTAATATTGGCTGTGGCACCATGCATGAAAGATGATGCCCTTTGAAAAGCAGTTAGAAGGAAGGTCTAAGGAACTGATTTTAGCAGTTTTACTGTGGTGTGAATCAGATTGCTGTATGCAGGTTGATCAGATTTCCAGAATAAATTATTATGTTAACTTTCAGCTATATCCATGATCAACACTAGGTGCTGCTCTGCTGCTACTCATATGAAATATATGTTAGCAAAGCTTTTAAATAATATTTACTGCAGTCTCCACATTTGTGTCCTTGTTATCTACATCCAGAATGTTGGTAATCACTTTGTTTTACTGCACACTAGCTTAATAAATATTTAGTTTTATTTCTGATGGGTTGCATTGCATCATCCAGCATTGTCACACCACTGCATGTATAGGAAACAGCACTGGAAGGGAATAAAATGAAGCAACTCTACATTTTTCAGCTCATCATACAAATATTTACTTAAACTCTGCTTCTAGATTTTTAATTAATTTATTTATTTGCAATCCGAGGGGAATGACTTTGTTAACGGGATGATTCTGGGAATAGACTGACAGCTACAAGGCCAGAGAGGAAGTTTGTTCATGGGGGGGGTAGGGGGGAGGGCAGGAGGAGGAATAATATGAAAAAAAATGTTTAGCTCTGTTGGGTTTCAGGCTTTCTACTCCCACATATTTGAGTGGGAGAAAGGACAAGTCTCTAGGACGTTGATTTCCCCATGGCAACAGAAAACGGAAATGACTTTAACCCCATCTAGTGACAGATGACTCATTGCTCAGCCTACTGCTATTTTTCAAGCTTTGGAACAATACAGTGGAGAAGAAAAAGCCAGTCTCTGTTATCTCATATTCTTAGCATTAGGGCTCGTGGGAGAGGGCAAGTCTCTGGCTTCTGTATTCAAAGGACTGCAGCATTTTACTTTGCTGACTCTTGATTATTCTTTTATTGTAGTGGGAAGCCAAACAGATTTGAGTGCTCTCTGTTCCTTAGCCACAACAAAGCAAACAGCAGGTTGAGCCATCTAGGCTGTCTTCTCACTGGTGAGATGACTGATATGAGTCTGGTATGAAGCATGATTTGATTTCAAACCAGTTTGGGTTCTCCACAGCTCCACCTGCTTTCAGTATTTCTTGTTTCTGGCCAGGGACAAAACAACGTTCATGACTCTTCATTCTGGACTTTCCAGAGATGCTCAGAACTGGAGTGAGTTCTTTCATCATCTTCTCCAGCTACCACCCACACACACCAGGCCCCACTCTCCTCTGCCTCATCTCAGAAACTGCTGTCTGATGGAGTATATCCTCTGAACACTGATTTCTGACTCCAGTGACTGGCTAGTCTCCCTTATTAGAATCATAGAAAATTCGGGTTGGAAGGGA